ATGCGGTGGAGATGTTTCCCATGCTGCCGCTGGGAGTGGAGTAGTGCAAGTAGGACCTCATGTCAAACGAAGAGCCGTTCTCCATCTTCCTGTCCTCACTCTCGTCTCTGTCTGCGGCTCTGTCCTCGCGGGGCTCGTGCAGATCTGCGTACTGTGCGTAAGACTCCCTGGGGTCTCTCAAACTGTCGCAATGACTTGCTTCCTGGTGCGCGTAGTTCTTATAGTTTTGCAAAGCACCCACTCTTTTAATTTTGCTTTCCGCCAAAAACTCTGTGAAGATGTCCCCTTGTGTTTGCGCTTGTGTGGCCAACTGCGGACAGTGCAGACCCGAGTCCAAGTACACACTGAAGTCTACGGCTCTCTCGCGCTCCTCTAAGCCCAGCTCCGTCATGGATTCACCGAGCCTCCAGTGACTGCTGCTGACCGGGGTGATGATGCTGTCGCGACCGTGGAAAGCAAAGCTGCCCTCGTCGTAATAGCCGGCCACTTCCATGGATCTTAACACCCGCCGGATTGCAGGAGCATATAGGGCTAGAAACAACCCCTGTTAAACTCAGAAGATTGTCTCTAACAAACTGCTCTGTCTGTGTGTCTGCTGTGACTGTAGACAGCGGACACGTTCTGAATGCAAGGGTCTAGTTTTGGAAAGATTTGACAGGTCCTTCCTGTCTCCCGGGGTTATAAAAACTTGAGGCGGAGCTTGGCTGGGCAGGTGTCTGACGCACAGCGCGCAGCAGCCAACCTGAGCTTTCCGGGACTTTTCTTTCAAACTCATTCATTAGGCTCCTGCAGGAGATGTGGCGACAAGCATTATATGGGTTATGTTTCATTAAGACCTTGCCTATGTGAATAGGTCTAGATGAGCAGAACAAGTACCAGACTGACCAATATACGCAAGAAAAACTAGGCCACAATGAAGTTATGATGTTGTGATGTGGACCGTCTGTGCATAAACACAGAGCTGTGACAGCATTGTTTTGTCTGCTTTGAATCACCATTTGTTTTGAAACAGACTCAAAGTCATACAGAAAGCCATTCACACGTGATACAGTTTAACTGATCGTATCTTGTTCATGCGTAATAACCAAAACACGAACGCCATAAATGATGTGATACAGAGCACGCAGCTGTTTGACCACAATATTAGACTAGTACAGACCAGTCTAACCAGCCTTAATCAATGAAGAAAAAAATTTAAAAAGAACTACCCTGTTTTAGGCGTCTGTGAAATAACCTTTTGGGCAGGATTTCAGTTGAAAATCTGAATAGGCGTAGGCGGAGTAAACAAATGAAATAATCTTAGAATAGATAACACATTTTAAAGGAAACCGTTCTACTGACACAGTGACTTCCAAAGCCAAGCGAAAGCAGATGTAAATTGAAGGCAATACTGTGGCCTAATTGCGCGAGCACTTACTGCCACCTGGTGGTAAAATGTACAAATAGGCCTAACACAAGAACTGAAATATAGGCTACAAAAGTCCTCATCACATTTTAATGGAAATTTTGATTCTGAAACACACAGTCCTTTTGAAACACACATAGTCCTTCATCACTGCAGCCCACACGTTGAACTACTAACTATCAGTTTATCATGGAGCCAGAAGACGGCAAGAGACAAGCAGAGGACTGCATAAAATGACGATTTATAACTATCAAATGAGAATTGTATTCACTTAAATTTCACGTATCCGTAAATATAGTTATTCAATAAGAAAAGTCACGGGAACTCCAAGATTAGTCCCATAAGCTGCATTAGATTTGTGTGTTAATAATTGTGTTACAATTAATTAATACAAATTATTGGCCTTAACAGTGCGTAAACTTTGGCACTGTTGGCACAGGTTGGCCAACGCTATTCCTTAGATCAAGCATTTTCACCTTGCTTTTTACTAGAATAATTTTGTTGTCCATCTATAACAATCACTTGGTAAGAGATGCACTGTTCCTTGTTAAACTTGTGTAAACCTGACGCTTGACACGCACAGACAGACGCGCCCGCCACTAAAGGCACCAGTGTAAAGCCGGGTGCAGTCAGGAAATGCGCTCTAAGTCCCCACAGCGCGATTGGGTGCTCAGTTTTACAGCCCGCCTTTCCTATATGACGGTTGGCTATTTGCCCCGAATGCTTGTATCTGATTGGATGAAACTGTGACAGTGTCTATGGGCTGAGAAATGGGCGTTTTGATTGGTTTCGGTGTGGAATTTGCAAACAACTCTAGAGCGCTACAGCAGATGTTGTTGCACAGAAATAGTTTATCTGACAACAATGATTGTTTCGTTGCCTGGAAATCCAGAAGGATATCTCTCTGTATTTCAGGCAAACTGTTTCGTTAAATATCAAATACTGATAGGCCCACAGGAAAAGCTCAGATTTCTCCAAAAATGCAGTAACAATCCAAATTTGAACATGCATAAAAGCCCCATAACAGGTTTCATTAATATTGGCTATGTTTGATTGCCAATTAGTCAACATACAAAGAACGACATCAGCTTGACTATTACTAATAATGCCTGACCACAACTAATAAGGCCTTACATTTGTCACATGTGGTACATATGTGAGGCTCACTCACCTGTAATTCCCTATACTCATACTCTGTGATGGTGACTAGAACTGCCTTAGGGTGAAATGACAGATGTGAAGAAGTGAGCAATATTACCCCGACCAACAGTAACTAATTCATACACCACATTCATACACAGAAATGTCTTCTCCAAGAAGACAATCCTGTGATAAAGCAGTGCGAGCACGTTTGTAAATGCAGGTGTTCCCACCGGCCACACTGTACTACCCAGAATTCTGTTCAGCTGCATGTGCCGGCTCATAGACAAACAATATTATGAGAACACAGATCAGCCCAGGCCAAAGCTCAGTGTGATACTTTTCTAGTGCATGGACTCACTGGCGTATAATGAGCCTCTACAGGAAAGGATGATGTATCTTATTTGATTGTCTGTCTGTGTGTATGCAATCTTAGAGCATTCGCTGGTCAAAGCTGGGATTTATTTAACCATGGGTCTTCCAATGCCATCCAACTGGCAAATAATCAATGTATATAATGCTTTAATATTATTATTTATTTAAACTTTTTTTTTTAAATCAAACTCTTTTAACAAAAACACTATGAGATATGCCTTTATGTGCACTTTACGATTAGTTATAGCATAAATAACCTCTAAACAAATCTAACAAATGTATACAAGAAAATAGCAACGTAAGTGCACTAATTACAGTTAATACATGTGCTTAAGAGATGCCGCAGTCACAAGATGGCTGCCGCAGCTGAACGTCAGTCCCTGTAACTTCCCGTGAACAGAGCGCTCTAGTGTCTCACTGACTCCACCGCCCTGGTTCCTGGCTGCGAGCGGAGAGGCTAAAGGGGCTGGGCTCGTAGTGGAGAAATGGCGAGTATGGAGAGGCAGGACGGGCGTGGAGTAGACACATCGAGCCCAGAGCCGCAGACACCGGCCCGGGCAGCGGCCAGATGGGGCTCACAACACGCGGGGGCCCGGGAACTAGCCAATTTATACTCGCCAGGTGAGACGGAGCTTTCCCCAGGGCGGCTTACCAGACTGTCCACTGATTTAAGCTGGGGTCATAACAGCGGGCTGCAATTAGTTTCATAGTAACATTAGCAACTTAGCAAACACTGATCTTGTCGTTTTTATATTCCGCAAAAAACAATTTCGCTTTAGTTAGAAGAGCAGCACACTGGTTAGCGTTAACGTTAGCTTATCTGGGAACACAGGAAAGAAGTTTGCATTGTAGTTAGCTTTGTTTTGGAGATTTTGAGCATTGGGGAATTAAAAGGTATAGCTGCACACTATACAGAGCTATTGTATGAAGTAGCTGTTTGGGTCAAAACAGCAAATCTACACCCTCTGCAACTCTACCTTTGCTAACAGCAGTTGTTAGGAAGAATCTAGCACTTCGATTTGGCAACTAGGTAACAATGGTGTTCTAGTTTGTTTATTGTCAAGGACTGTCTATTGGGATTAAAAAAAACTATTCATCAGGAGTAGGGCATGGGTTAAATCGACTAAAGCAGGTCAAAACTAGGATTAAAACCAAACCCAGACTAAGACAAACCTAAACCTGGACTGAATCTGTAATATGATATTAACCAGAACCTTAACCATAACCAAAAAGTTTACATCAGTACTTGAGCAGGATTTACAAAACCAGGTCTAAACTAGGACTAAACCAAGTAGACAATTTAGGGATTAAACCACGTCTAAAACCAGAAACACAGACTAAACCAGTACCTGAACCACAACAAAGAAAGTCTATATCAGGCGGACTAAGATACGGAAAATTAAATTAAATGGAATGAACCAAGACTAAACTAGGTAGTGTGTAAAGAAAGATGCTACCATGTGAATTGTCAAAGCCTGTGTTACACCAGGACTAAAAGAGGACTCAAATATCTGTGTAGGGGCAGCATACCAGTCTGTCACATGGGGCACAAGAATCACTGAGTCACAATCTGAAATCCACACAATGTACTCCCTTTGTACAAACAGCAGCCACTGATTTGGAATTTTTTTTTTATAATGATATGTATTTAATGCACACCTCAGTAGTCAAAACATTAGTATTTCAGGTCTAACAGCATTTTTTGCATTTTCCTCAGTGCATTTGCATTTGGTTAGTCAGCTACTTTCACAACCAGAACATGGCAAAATAAGGAACAAGACTCGAGCAAAATCCTGTTGAATCTATGCTAAGAGACACATTTTTTTTTAGTTCAGTAGAGATTGGCAATTCCAGGGCTGAAAGTTTCCAAAAGATTTTACTGATGTTGTATGGAATTTCAAACACAGTTTCCTCTATTACCACATTATAAGGTGAATAGTGTCCTCTGTTACCACCTGACATCACAAGGTGAACAGTGTCCTCTTTTTGAGAGAATAAATATGCAAGATTTGTGTGTTAAATGTGTGAATGAAACAAAACAACTCCAGGTTCTTTTGATGATAAATAACAAATAAATAAAACATGTTTATTAAATGTAATAACTGTTTTTAAATGTCTTTTTTCAAGGCAAGAGGTGTCAGGAGTGGATAAGTGTCATCCTTTGCTTTTCTCTTATGGCCTTTAACTTTATTCAGCTTCTCGCCAATTTCCACCTGGGTCATGTCTGGTACATTCTGTTGGGCATTGGTAAGAACAGTTTTACAATCACAATAGTTATTTCTTTGTTAAAACATTATTTGTTAAAACTAATATGATTTTCAGTTGCAGGAATACTGACAGCAGATTTTGCCTCAGGACTGGTTCATTGGGGAGCAGATACATGGGGCTCTGTGGATTTGCCTGTTTTTGGAAAAGTAAGTTGAACTACTGCATCCACCTTATTATCCTCTCTATTATCCACTATACTTATGACTGCTACTGATCCACACTTTGGTTTGAGTTGGCACTACTGGTTAAGTGGAAATCTTAACCTTTTCAATACAGAACTGGAGAAAAAAATTGCAGCTAAAATGATATAAAGTAGGCTTGGCTTTGTAGTCTGGAAACTATTTGCTGTCAAGATCTGCAGCCCTATGCAAAATCACACAACTAAAATGAAAATGGAGGCTCCACTGGCAATATTGTATGACCTGTTATAAAATGCAAATTGTAAACACCAGGTTAAAATTCATATACTTCATTGCACATCAAACCTATAAAATAAAAATAAAATAATAAAACAGACTGTAATCTAAAGTATGACTTGGTTTTTTTATGGTCAAAAGGGCAGAATACACTTTGCACTTTCGTGGTTTTCAGATTCTACTATACGATGATGTCATACACTCAGACAGGGAAAGAGCCAGTCTTACCTATTGATTACATTGTAATTTGCCATGAAATATCCAAAAGGTAAATGCTCAGATATTCAACCTGATCATTTCTTTTAGTGTCGAGACAAAAATCTGCTGTTATTTTAGCTGCTCCTCATCAGCATTCAATATTATTGACCTATAGAATGTTGTGATATCATCTGAAACTCAGCATTTTCTTCTCACATGTTTCTATTAGGGCCAGAAACATTAATTAAATTATTCTTATTACATTACAGAGTAAGTAGTTCTTTCACCATTCTGAACAGATCACTAAAAGAGGCAAAAATTGGACTGATTGTTTTTTGTTTTGGGCTGTAGCTTGGTGTTTAATGTTCAACCTTATGATAAATCTACCCTGAAGACCTTTTCGTATCTGTTGTGAATACATAATATAAGGTTTTCAGGGCTTATTTCACAACTTCTGAAGGACTGATGTCTGATTGAAATATTTTGGGAGATAATATGATTGTTTATATTGTTTATAACGTTTTCCCCTTGGCTATTTTTCACTTATATTGCTGTCTACTTCACAGGCTTTTATAAGACCATTCAGAGAGCACCACATCGACCCCACAGCCATCACACGTCACGACTTCATTGAGACCAATGGAGACAACTGTATGCTCACCCTGGTCCCTTTAGCTAACATGGCCTTCAACTTCCTGACTCTCTCTCCTGGTGAGTTTAAGACCAAAACTAGTACCCCAACATCTCAAAAATCAAACAGAAAATAAACTAAACTTAAGTTTAAGTTAAGTTTAAGACAGAGGGGAAACAACAATCTCCATATTGACTAGCTGTGCGAATACATAAAACTGTATGTCTTCATGTACATGGCCTCAGAGTAGAGTCTGCAATGTATCAATATAATTCCAACCTGCCCTCCAGCTCCATTTTAAACTATTGTCCCTTTTGAAAGTGCAATGTGAAAGCAATGTCTTTCAAATTCAATAAATCTATGAATGACATCACATCCTTTCTGTTTGCAGCGGAGATCTACCATATCTATCCATTCTACTGCTACTTGTTTGCACTGGGAATTTTCGTGACGCTGACGAACCAGATCCACAAATGGTCGCACACGTACTTTGGGCTGCCGCGCTGGGTGGTGTTTCTGCAGGACTGTCACATCATCCTCCCCCGAAAGCACCACCGCATCCACCATGTAGCCCCACACGAGACCTACTTTTGCATCACAACAGGTAAGGGTCAGCAGGATGGCTTAGGGGATTGCTCAGAGCACAAATACTTGGGCCTGTGCCAGTGGAATTGATGATCCATTTTATGCTGCTTACTCTTCTGTCTAGCAAGTTTAACACCTTAAATTCAAATCTTTAGTCTGCAGTTTTGAACCGGAAGTCAGTGGATGTGTTTCAGTTATCAAGTTGTTTGATCGTTGTAGTTTACAATTAACAAAATATAATAATCCATGTATGTTATAGTTTTGCCTTCTTTAAAGGTGCACTATGTAACTTTATGGTGGAAGGTCACCTTGTGTCAGTGGAAATGTCATTGCTTTTTATGGAGTGTTTCACAGAAGGGCATTAATCAGAATCAGAATAAGTGTTATTGCCATTTCCAGTGAACAGAATGCACAAACTAGGAACTTGCTTTGACGGTGTGGTGCAACATAAAACAATGAATAATAGTAAATATAAGCTATGAAATAAGGCATGGCGAGTTATAGATCAGATCTATGGACAGGTGACTCCCTTCACAGCATGAATGCAAGGTATTTTAGCAATACATAAAAACAAATACAAGATAGAAAGTGTAATACCATGACGTACCAATGTTTCAGTGTATGCTGATTCACCAAACTCGCTTAAAGACTCTGTTCCTAATTTCTTACAGTTTTCAAACTGTAAAATACCAGTAACTTTTAAACAGTGTACAGTGGTCTAAACTCATTCCTCACTTTTTAATGCATCCTTAATGTCACAATTCTTCACCACAAAGACTTACCAGGCAACAGAACTACAGTGCACCAGCATGGTTCTGTTGCCTGTCAATACAATGCTTTATAATTAGATGCAGGTCATACATAAGGTTAAAATATGTTACATAGTCATTTTTCAACAGTTAAAAAAGGTAAAGTAAGGAAAATCTGTTGCTTGCTAGGGTGCAATTCCTCTTTGGGTGGTGCCTCTCAGTTCTGCAGTTTTGAACAGGAAGTCAATGCACCTGTTTCTGTTATTATATTATTATTGCAGTTTACAATGAACAAAATGAAAAATAGTAATCTATATGTTGTAATTTATTGCTAAATACCCAGTAAATACCCATAATGTCTTCTTTAAAGGCCTGAATAAAACACTTGGACCATTACATATCTTGAATGAGCTGTCACAGTGTCTTTGTTTCCAGGTTGGCTGAATTACCCTTTAGAAAAACTGGGATTCTGGAGAAACCTGGAGGACCTGATCCAGGGAGTGACGGGAGAGAAGCCCAGAGCAGATGACCTAAAGTGGGCTCAGAAAGTCAAATAACTGCCCCCTACCTCAGAAGACAGCAGCCATTTTCAGGCGTCTCATCCCCCTTTCGCCTCTTTAAAACTTATTGGAAAAGGAAATCTAACCGTTTTGATGCCATAGCTTTAAGTATTACACATTTTATCTAATCTTCAGGAGGGCTTTATTGATGGTGTATGTCTGACTGCAGACCTTTGCTGTTTGCAGGGCCTATATCTTTTTACTTATTAACATAACACACCATTCTGTCCAAATTTACATGTTATGCTCAAAAAGTTTGGTCAAAAAAATGTGAAGTCACTCTAAAATCGCCTAAACAATACCTGAAAAATACTATTAACCATGGGGAAATTGCTCCTCTTAAAATAGGAAATGACAAACAATGTCAGTCTGTGCTAAACATAGTGACTTGGAGCATAACCAATGTTGAAAGCAAATGAACAAATAGGTTTCTGTTACATTTAATTCTTATAAAAAACATTTATGTGAATATTTTGGTAAAACACAGCCACCCATGTCTGGGAAAGATGATAGGTCTAAAATAACATTGCAAAGGTTACTGAAAAGATGATCTTGAGAGAGCACATAATACATTACAATATACATTGGAGATCAATATAACTTCTGTAGGTCAGTCTCACATAGCTAACACACTCTACCTTTTTATTGGGTGAATTAAGGAGGTCACATCTCCATATATTTTATCTGTCTTAATTTACAAGAGGAACACGTTTCCTCCAATCTGCCTTATGTACTTCTGATGCAGTAAAGATACAGAGGTTTAAGCAGCGCCAGATGAGTAGCAGTTTCCTCTATCTGAGATTAAGGTCTCAGAAAGAGCTCCATTGAATTGTGCCAAACCTAAACACATGATCCCACTCCTCAAACATGAAATGTAGACTGACCAGCTTCAGTTTCAGGGCTAAACATGCACAAGTAATGTCCACATGTCCACTGACTATTGCCTTGGCATTGCCATATTGGTTGGGGCTTCTGTGAGGTTTGAAGATCCATAATTTCTCCACTTTGTAAAGTAGAAACATTGTGTCATGTTTTTCTATTTGTAAACATGGTGTATAGCCGTGAACTATGCAGCAGAGTAGAATGACTGTACCTTTATGTCTTAAATTTAGGATTTGATTCAAATGCCTTTATTTTGTATTTCACACAGTGAGCAACATGTGGGGAGATGGAGCTCATTTACAACAGCATGGCAACATTTGTTTAAATACTTAGATGTCACAAACAAACATAAGGTTGCATGCATCTGGCATGTTGGCTTGTGCAAGCAATACACTGTCACCAGCCTCTATGGGATAACACTCCTGATAACACTCCAAGGGGAAATGAAAGCCCACCAAAACAAATACCTCAAAGGTTTAGAAAAGACAGATTTACAAGGATCCTATAAAAAGTGATACTGTAAAAATCAGAAACATGTAATTTGTTTTATGTATTCGTTTTGATTCCTTCTACTTGATTCTTGTATATAATAGGTCAATGATCAGAGTACACTGCGGATTGCACATTGCTGGTTGGACGTTTTTGGGAAAAGTCCTCTTTGCTTCGTGATTTGATGTTAGCAAAGTGTTGGGTGATATCTTCATCAAAAATTTGAATTCCTACTTAAAGCTTTTTCATTATTATATGGACACATTTTGTGTTTTGGCTTAAATATTGATCAAACATAGGTGACGATAGATGCCATAATCTGTAAACTTTGTAAATTAAACCGGAAGTATTTAGAAATAAGCCATACTACTACAAAGTTTGTGAACATAATAATTTAAAATGACAAAATTATTTTATTTAAAATTTTGCATTTTTGCTAATCTGAGGACCACAGTAGGTGATCTAGTTTATAATGTAGCATTGGTGTCAAGTGCTGAAAATTCACCTGCTGTTTTTGAAGTGCAGTAGTTTGTGGTTCTCATTTTTTTGCTAATAATGAAAAGGATTCAAAAGCCTGAGGTTTCACTTAAGCAATAGACTCAAAGTTTCTTTTTACAAAGGTTTTTGTGGTTACTTGTTTCAAGAAAGCTCCTGTCAAGTTTAAAAATATGTTCTAAAATGGTTCTTTTGGATATGAAGTTGGATGTTTTCTATTTTGTTGGGTGATGAAATACTGTAGTTTTGTAAAAAATAATCAGTTGTTCTTGAATGGCCTTATCCCCCTTTACTTTACTGTAACTGTTGCCAGCATTATAGGAAGCAATCCACTGATTTGATATTCTACCCCATTTGGATGTGGCGGGTGGTTGCCAATGGAGGAGTTAAGATATCAGAATAATGCCTTGATGCCTTTCAGTTGTCTTCTATTTGGAAGACTTGTACATATTGAAAAATATTTATAAATAAACTGCTACACCAATGTTTATTGATCACCTCTGTGTTCATGTCATTTAGTTCCATCAGAGTTTAGTGCCAATGTAATTGGCGTTTAGTGTCTGATTTTCAAAAAACTGATCAAAACCAGTAAATGTGGTGCGCGTGCACGAGCCGTGACAGTGCATGCGCGTGCACGATCCGTTGTGTCGCGACAAGATGGCGGTCTCCGCCGGATCAGGTAAACGTTTCTGAGAAATAAATGAGAGATATGGCTTTATTGTTTTTTCAGAACCGCTTTAAATTCACACGGTTCAGTTATTAAGTCCAAACGATGCCGTATTTATCTATTGACAAACGCGCAGCTTCACAATATGTAAGTTAACGGGCCGGTACACAGAATGAATAGCGGTAGCCTCAATTTAGTTGGTTTGGCTAACGAGCTGTGAATAAAAGCAAAAACCATGTGCTGCACTTCGCGGAGGGGCGTTGGTTAAACACGGCTAAAGGACATAGATGGAAAACCGCTGGTTAGTTACTGCATCACTAGCATCAAAAGTTGTCGGCATCCATATGTACCTTTACTTTAGCCTGATGCTAACTACAGCACCGGAGCCTGGCAACATCATAAGCTTTACGTTCTGGAGAGTACCTAACGTATTGTATTGTCATAGCCAAAATATAGCCAACTTAAGCTTGAGATTTAGTAAACATAATGATTTAAAGTAAAGGGCAGTTTCTGGATGTCTTCCCCTGTGTGCATTTCTTTGTTGAGTTCAAACTGGGGAGTCGCTGCTGCTCGTGTTACCCAAAGGCCCACGAGACCGGACAGTAGTTCGAGTGTGGACAGCTCGTGAGGACAGCTCAAGGGACAGAGCAGCATCACGTTTGTCTCTGCAGAGGACAGATCATGCTGCGTGCCAAATTCCATGCTAGAGAATGGACCGGCTGCCATTTATAGTTTATCTGTTTGTTATTCCTGCTTTGGGTTCTTCGTGTGAAACAAAAACATGACAAAGTTGAAAATCACAACCCATTCCATCTTTATATTGACCAAATTAAATAATTCTTCTTTTCTTCTGTTACCAACCTTTTAAAAATGGTTATACTAGTCATTAAAAGATAAGTAATTAATTCAGACCATTAATTTGTTCCAAAGACTGTAGAAACTGCAGCATAGTTATCTCCCAACTGGAGAGAAGAGACGTATAAGAGTAGGAGAATTTCAAAGAATCTTGTCAAAGTTGAACAAAATGGAGACCGTTCGACTGCCACCCAGAAGTCATTTATAAACTGAGAGCATACTTAAGTTATTTGTTTTATTTAAGGCTGTACAATGAAATTGTGTAGATCTGATTAGTCTTGAGCTGTGACTGTGCTTTATGGGCAAACATGACCTTTATGCTTTTGATGGAAGATCATGCAGAATAAATGTTGAGCCAAATATATCTCAGTTTGGTTCAGAGCAAACCCAGGACCATCTTGTTCTGAGGCGAGGCATTTTAACCACTACTCCACTGTGACACCATAATCTGAATCATTTCATTAAAGATGTGTTGTTTGTGGGTTTATAGGTGTTAAGGTTCCTCGTAATTTCCGGCTCTTGGAGGAGCTGGAGGAGGGGCAGAAGGGTGTGGGTGATGGGACTGTGAGCTGGGGTCTGGAGGACGACGATGACATGACTTTAACACGGTGGAGAGGGGTGATCCTGGGCCCACCCAGGGTGAGTCTACGCACAGGATATTGTGGGAGGTTTCACTCTGACAGGGAAACATATGATTCTGCATGTCCTGCATTCTAAAAGGGCCTTATTTTGTGTTAGTCTAATTCTGTATAAAAGAGCAAAACTCAGGCTTCTGCCTTCCTGAGATCGCAAAATCTGATGATTGATATAATCATGGGTTTTACTAGTGACGCCACTTCTTCCTGTTTTGAGGGATTTGCCCATTCAGAGAATGTAATATTCAGAGTTTGTTGATTACTCTGTCGACAGTCTCTTATCAAAACCCATAGATAAGTTGATTGGTCATCCAAAGTTATGATGCCAGCCACAATTTGGCAGATTGTTCAAACTGGTCGTGAAACATGTTTGCTGTAACACATAAGTTACAACTGTCAACTCAAACCACATAAAATAAACATAAAAGGAAAATAAAAATGTGACTGTTTAGACCTGACGCTGTTCATAGCAACAGAAGATACGCATCACCATGACAACTGCTGGGTACGTCATCACTTCCATCCACCCAGAGTTGGATTATCAAAACAATGTATACTAATCCTTATACAGAAATTAGATGTTCATTTGAACATATACTGAAATTGCTGTTACTTCCTCAAAAACATACCCAGAGTTGGGTTTTGTTTCATCCACACATGTTTGAGCAACCTTTTATTGTTAGTCTGTCTACATCTCCAAAGCTTAAAATGCTCTGTTCCACCTTGTGATGTCATGTAGTGGTAGTTTTCAAGTAAACGGCTACTTTTTAGTTCAGTAGAGATTGGTAATTCAAGATCTGAAATCATCCAAATGAGTGTTTTCTGTTTGAGAGAAGAACTAACTATGCAGGGTTTGTGTGTTTAAATGAAACAAAACACAGCTCAATGTGTGTTTGTGATAAGAAAACAACATTTTAACATAGATCAGTAATATGTAATATGGGCCCTTTAAATCCCATGAATGATCTATCTATATTAAATGTCCCTTAACTTTGTATGTGCCCTCCACAGACAAGTTATGAAAACCGGATGTACAATCTGAAGGTGGAGTGTGGGCCCGGGTACCCAGAGTCTCCTCCGTTCGTCAGATTTGTCACAAAGATAAATTTGAATGGTGTCCACAACTCCAACGGCGTGGTGCGTATCTGTCTGAAATAACGCAAAGCTTTCTTACTTATAGTATTTGTGTTATTTACTTTTCATGTGATGTTGTTTGGTGAACACTTGTGTAAAAGAAAAGCTGCACTACCAGTCAAAAGTTTGGACACACCATCACATTCGATGTTTTTTGGTAGTGTATATGCAATGTCAACAGATTTTCTACACACTAATCGAATCCCACCATTTTGTTTGTTTGCTAAATTTTTGTATCACCAGAATACTACCTGCAAAACAACAATTATACTTCTTTAAAAAATTATTCCACACCTCTAGATGCTATTATTTTGACTAGCACGATTATTTCAGTTAAACGAATATCCGCTAGAGCTATACACATGTATATGACCGGTCCTTTTGTCTTGTTTTAGGTTGACATGCGAGCAGTGTCTGCTTTGGCAAAGTGGCAGAACTCCTACAGTATTCGGATGGTTTTACTGGAGCTGAGACGACTTATGACGTGTAAGGAGAACATGAAGCTTCCCCAACCTCCGGAGGGCCAGATCTACTCCAACTGACCTCTGACCTACCCGTGACCCCTGTCTGACCCCTATGAACCTGTACTTTACCCTATAACCCTTTTCCTACATCTTCCGTTTTGTTTCCACCATTCAAACGTCTTGTCTCTCATAAACATATGAAGTCTTGAGCGTTCATTCCTTTGTTGATGGCATTTCCTTAGTCCCCATCAGATGTGACCATTCAAATACTGTACTTATTTTTTATTATTTGTTAAATCTGATTGTACAAAAACATAAATAATCTTATTGAGTGTTCGACTGTGTGATTGTGTCTCTCTGTAATGTTGGAACTAGTTGTAACTTAAGCATATGCAAAGTAGAATAGATATAATTTCTAAATAAATTGTAAAATGGGGATGATCAAAGACTGACATATGGGCATGTTTACAAGAAAAATAAACATTGTAAATCACAACATAATTAAAACAGACTAGTTTTACCAGGTTGACTCAGAAAATAAAGAGGATTTTAACATGCATTACAGGTTGCACACTATCAAGCTCTCATACATTGAGGTCAGTGGTTCTCAATATGGGAAAAGTCTGCAATTATTTGTCAAATTTAGGGTGTATTCACGTTTGACCCTAGTTTAAGCCCAGTTTAGACCTGGTGTGTAAACATTTTGAGAAGCACTGTAAGAAGTCAATATATAACTAACACATTACACCCCCACATACATGTGATGCAAGGTTACTGCAATAACTTATAAAAACGGATAAAGGTTATCTATTATATGTATTTTTTTCAACTTTGTTTTCCAATTTTGTAAGTAGTTGTAAAACTATTATATAATCACCCCAGGTACTGTCCCATCAAAAGAAGTAATTAAATTATAGTTTAACAGCATTTACTTAAAGTTTGTAACATTTCTAGTTTAGGGCCCACCACCTGCTTGTCTCCATAGAGATGTCATTGCTTTGCCTAAAATGCTCCACAGTATAGCATTCAACTTGCCTATCTTTATATAGACAAGCAAATTACGCCACCTTGCCAAGCTTCAGGACAGATCTGTGGAGAAGCGACGCCACTCGATGTAAGAATGCATGTTTTTAGTGTGTTTTTGAGCAATAAAAACAAGTCTCATTGTAATGGTTAATGCTATACTCGGGAATATTCCAAGCAAATCGCTAACACCTCCATGATGACAAGCGAGTAATGGATCACTGACTAGAAACGTTAAATTATATAAAAACAACTGTTATCAAATGAAGAAGTGAGAGTACAGATGAGGATTTTGCAATGTTGTTTGTTACGCCACACTGCCCTTGCCTAGTACAAGTCATGGGTTACTTTGCAAATAGAGCCACTCGTTGTACTATTCCCCCACGGCCAGTAGAGGGAGGGCTGCCAACTCAATTAAACTGCCCATTTTATTTTCTGCTGTCAATGCCAAAATGTCAAGAGCACCTAGGAGTGTTTCTGCATTGCATTGACCTAATTATCCGAACGGTTCACAGAGGAGGAGGAGGAGTTGATGTCCCCATGTAGTCTTAACCAATGGAGATATGAAATCGCTGCAGTGGACTATGGACTAAATTATTGGCCATGTGATTCCCATCTGGACATACGGGAGAGGACATGACGAAGCCTTCAGGGAACACTGACTATTGTAAGTAAAAAATATGTCTATGAGACGCCTATAGCAGCTTTGTATGTCAGTAGTCTATATTAAATCAGATGTATTGGGTTTTTAGTACAGTGTGTGAATGCATTATAATACATGGGATCAGTGACAGCGTTTTCCTATTTAGCTCATTGACTCCTATTTTAAGGATTTTAATGTAAATATAATGTACAAATTTAAGTAATTCTGGTGCCTTTTAGATCTAACTGTTTTATATTCCTACTGTGTAACAATTTAAAATGCAATGAATCTCAGTTCTAGTTTTAACATATTTATAAAGGATATATCTGGGCACCCATTTCGAACTTACACATGTACTTAGTTTTGATCAACATCACAGGAAATGTTACTAATGTTTTTACAGTGTCGATGCTGTTATAACTATTTTAATTACAAAACAAGTGAAGGCTTTATTGAAAACATATGTCTATTGTTTGTCTGTTACTAGTGGGACTTGGGTTTTTTTGCCCAACATGTAGAACAGAGACCTTTGACACACTTTATCTATAGCAACCCTCGTTTCTAGGTCAGTGATTTCTAACAACTAGAACTCCTGGACAACAGCCAAGTTCTAACATTTGTTCTGAATTTCAAGAATGTGGCCAGAAATTATTGTAGCTTTTGCATTTCAATCTCATAAAGTTTTACTCCCCCCTCTGCCTTAGAAAGATAAATGTAAACAAATAATTAATTACTTAACAAGGCCAATATCATCACATGTCAAATATAAACATACATTGTTATCAAAGGGCCTCTATTGTTTTTTTTTTTTGTTTTTGTTTTTGATCTAGTATGTCATAAGGTTGTATCCTCATCAAAGTAATGCCTGGAGTTGTGATTTGTTTTGTTCAGATGTTTGACACACAAATCCTGCACATGTAAGCTGTGTGCTTCTCTCAGACTGAAAAAGCTCTGTTCTACCTTGTGACGTCATGAAGTGTTAATACACTGTTCCACTTCCTGTGTTTTTTAAACTCCATACACCTTGACTAGAATCATGTGGATCATTTTGGCCCTGGATTTTCCAAACTTTGAAGTTTTTTAGCCTAATATTCTAGCCTCAATGTAACTTCTTCAGTGCAGTGAAGATAGACTTGGCAATCTCAACTGAACTGCATTGTAGAGTAATGCAGTTTGATTGAGCTAAAAATAGCTGTTAACTTTAAAACGGTCACTTGATGACATAAGGTGGAACAAAGCAATCTGAGCTTTGGAGATGTAAACAGACTAATAACACATTCAAACATCTGTGAATGAAACAAAACACAACACCAGGTAGGATTATGATGAGGTACAAACATTCTACCATGGCTAAATGCTCACAAGAGTCAATTTTGTGTAATATTGGACCTTTAAACATACTCATATGGTAAATGACATAATTTGGGGTATTCTATATCTTGTTAGAGGCACCATTGAGATCTATTTGAGATTTGAGATCTATATTTATTTGAGTACATTCAATAACATCATATCCATTCTTCTCTGCAGATATGAGTCCTGTGTTTGCATTCACAGTGTCCCTGCTCTAGCCCCAGACTGGTCAGTATGGCTGTGCTGGTGCATCTTCTCGCCTGTGCCTTCGGGCTGGGCTCGTGGGTAGCGGTGAACGGTCTGTGGGTGGAGCTGCCTCTCATCGTGAACACTCTGCCCGAGGGGTGGGACCTGCCCTCTTTTCTCACCGTCATTATTCAGCTCGCCAACGTGGGCCCTTTGCTGGTCACTCTGATGCACCGGCTGTGCCCAGGCAGACTCAAAGAACACCTGGTCATCTACTCCATCCTCTGCATAGGCATGATGTCCTGTCTGTTGCTCGCCCTCTTCTGGGACAGGACCACAGTCATCGGGGGGGCTCCACACAGCACAGCCTTCTTCATCATCACTTTCTTCTTGGCTCTGGTCGACTGCACGTCCTCTGTCACATTTCTGCCTTTCATGATGCAGCTGCCGGCCAATTACATCACCACATTCTTCATCGGGGAGGGCCTCAGTGGGTTTATCCCCGGTGTAATTGCACTGGCTCAGGGTGTGGGGATGGCCAAGTGTGTAAACTCCACTCACACTACAGGAAACAACTCCAGCTCTGAGGAGCTGTGGTCCTTTCACACAGAATACCTCCCCCCAAACTTCTCCACTGAGTTGTTCTTCTTTTTCTTGGCTCTCATGATGTGCGTCAGCCTCGGTGCGTTTATTACACTTAATAAACTCCCTCGGACATTTGAGATGTCGACAGAAAACCTGGTCCCAGACACTCCAGTTTCCTCTGTCTGCTCAGGTCTGGATAACCCCGGGACCGACACAGAGGGTGAGAGTAACCATGGTGACAGAGAGGAGGGTCCCTCTAAGGTCCACCCTAAACACTCCATTGCCCAGCTCTGCTTCATTTACTGTGTGGTGGTCTGGGTGAATGCTGTCACCAACGGGGTTTTGCCCTCAGTACAGACGTACTCATGTATACCCTATGGTAACCTGGCCTACCACCTCTCCGCTGCCCTCTCCTCTGTGGCCAACCCTCTGGCCTGCACCGTGGCCATGTTCGCGCAGACCCGGTAATGATGGCTGCATATCACAGACCACTGGTCTAGTTTAGACATTTTATAAGAGTGGTAATGCTGTATTCACAGGTCTCTGGTCTTTCTGGGAGTGCTGACTTTCTTGGGCACTGGATTTGGGAGCTACAACATGGCCATGGCTGCGATGAGTCCATGCCCATTGTTTCAGGGCACCATGTTGGGGGAGATCCTCATAGTGAGTATTAGTGGAGACTCTGCATTCTACAGGCATAAACCCCCAGTCCAACCTTCAGATTGAGAACAATATTATATCTAAACACAAAGGTGTGGTTGAGTTAAAGTGCCTGTTCTATCTCTAACCTGTGTTTGCTACAGGTGCTGTCGTGGCTCTGCTTCACCGGGACTCTGTCTTATGTCAAAGTGATGGTGGGTGTGATCCTGAGGGACCGCAGCCACAGCGCCCTTGTGTGGTGTGGGGCAGCCGCTCAGATGGGCTCTCTGCTGGGCTCTGTCACCATGTTCCCCCTGGTCAATAGCTACAGGCTGTTCCAGGCTGGAGACTTCTGCAGTTCACAATGTCCTTCATGATGCCTGGAGGAGTTCATAGCAAATTAGATTTTTTGTTACAAATGACTTATTTAAAGGTACACTATATAACTTTCTGGAGGTGGCAAAATAGATAGAGATAAATAAATTCTAGATCATCTATCAGAGACATCATTACACTTTTCACCCTGTAAACACAGAATACAACAAACAATAGACAAAAACATTGAGATATGTGGAAATGAGATGGAAAGGATTAACAATTCCTTTGAAACAAGCAGGAGAAGGCTCCAGGAAGATAAAAGTCAAGTTTGTGGAGATGCAAACAAGTGTTTCAGTGTAATAAACAAAACCAAAATGGAGTGTCTAACTTTGTCCACTAGATGGCAGAAGTGCATTAAATTCCAATGACTGTCAGACGCTTGAGCTCTAGCCTCCAACGCAATGCACTTGTAGAATAACCACTATGAATGAATATTGAATACATTTGTGTATTTAACTCAGTGTTTTCTAAAATAATAAATCATTATTGTCTACTACTTTGTTGGCCTCCTTAGTTTAATTTTAAATGGTTAATCTCTAAATCTTGTCAATAGCTTTCACACAGTACTAGTATGACCTCATAAAATATTTGGCTTTCTAAGTACCACCAGGAATAGACCAAGACAAAATCCAGACTAAGCCAGATCAACAAACATTCCAAACCTAAGAGAAACACTGAAACAAATGTCATAAAATTAAGTACTGAAATTAATATCTAGGTGCTCTGTTTTACTCTACTGATACTCTACTAGTTTAGCTTGAAAAAAAAAAAAGGCTGACAGCTAAATAAAATGTATTACTCTTGTCAAGATTACTCAAATCAGTATATTCATTCAAGTCGAAATAAGCTGCAGTGCAACTTAGTGCAGATCAAGAACAAAAATATGTAATAAACACTAAGCATTGCATTAAAGCATGATATATGCATGGGAAAGAAACCAGGATCCAGACAGTGAACAAATATCATGTCTGTGTGAAGCCCCCGTTATCCACATCACAAATGCACCATCACATACTACATAATAAATACAGAGGAGAGACAGTTCAACGCCATAACAGCAGCAGATCAGCCCTCACATCCCCCTCCTCCCCTTCTTCCCCCTCTTCCCCCTCTCCCTCTCTGCCCCCCATGGAGGACCTGAGGGCTATCTTGGTCTGGCTGTGTGGTCAGAAAAATGAACTTCCCTATAAGTTAATGTAACTGCAATCCAGAATATAAAGCTTAATTTGAGTAGATCAATTTCACATTTTTTCATATTTTTAGTTTTGTTTTTTGTTTGTTACTTTTTGTTACATTTCACAGCTTGTTCTATTCATTACTTATTACTGTGTTTGACTTCATGATGTGTAAAAAAGTAAGCTAGTATTTTCTTATGTGAATAAATAGTATCTATTTTGGACCGGTTTCAAGAAATTGAAATAAGAAAAATCATCTACATTGAAGCTTGAATTATCTGCAATGCATTTATTCAATTTAATGTGTTTTTATTGCTCAAAAGTGGTGTCACATGCTTGTCTTTATGGAGATAGATATGTTTAATGCCATACTGTGGGACATTCTGCAAAAACAATAACATCTCAAGGGAGACAAGCTGGTGGCATACCCTCCACCAGAAAAGTCACATATTGCATCCTTGCTATGCTATGCTGCATATGTAAATCTAGTCAAACTACTCAAACAAAACAAAAGTGTTTTTGTTGTTGTTTATTACTTTTGTAATATATTTAAGATAGTCTTTTGCTTGTAATGTTTTTTTTTTTCAATTATAATAAAACTTAGCATAACAATTAAATAAAATAACAAATAAAAGACAAAACAAATCAAATCTTACAAAATGAAGTCAGATCATGGGTTTAACATACATGCTTTGGTCCTGAGCTCTAGCTAGTCTTTTCTCAGTGAGCGGTGGGGGGCTGTAATCTGCTCTATGGGGGTCACAGACTGTGTCTCTGGCCGCTGGTCACTTGGGAGCTGCCCTGACCTCGACTCTGAGTAAAACAATAAGATTTCACAAACAAATGGAGCCACAATTAGCCCTGACTGGCCTCCAGGCTGATCAGAGCCGCACAGATGGCACTTTCTCACTTGGATTTGTTGAGTCTACATTACAGTGTGTAGCAGGCTCAGGCATCAGTGCAGTCTGCTGTTGCAGTTTTGATTGACAGGAGGATATATTCATAAACAACTAAAGCTGTGCTTGGGTGGTATTGAGCTGTTTGGAGGTTTGTAAAATATGTATTGTCCCTAAGCAAGATATGCACTACAACTGACCACATTTATTTACAAATAGGACTTAGAATATCTTAACCTGTTACAAGACATTTCTGACTAGTTTAAAATTCAACATAAAATGATAGAATAATTATAGAGAATTATATAACTTGAGGAGGGTCTGCCACATGCTTGTTGCCATGAAAATGTTATTGCTTTGTTCAGAATGTTTCACAGTATAGCATTACAATGATCTATTGCCATAGAGACAAAGGATGGGTTCACACTAGCACATTCACCAAATCAACACTGGAATCAGGACTAAACAATGACTAGAGCAGGACTAAGACAAGTCTAGCCTGATTCAACAGGCGGTTTCACTTCATGAAAATCCTCTGACATCATAGCATTAGGATTCATTCACTTGACGGTAGGCGGTACTTTGTTTATTTAACCAATTGCTGCTATTTGGTTGTGACGTATGTAATGCGCCGGAACGCTCACTGGTGTCCGAGTTATTGCCAGCACAACAGCAAACAAAGCAGAGAGTGAACATGTCTGTCAACAGTCATTGTAGTTTCTGTGAGATGAAGTTGCGAATTAAAGGTGCAATAAAAAATGCAAAGTTTGTATTTGACAAAGGAAGTCCAGTCTATCGCAACTCGGGTTGGTTCAGCTCTTCGCTGATTGGTCGGTGCGTGGTTTACAACTTCTGGGGTTCTTGCAAACCGTCTAGTGTATTCCAATTCCTGATCTAGTTGCTGGAGAGAAATAAAATTGAGTGGAGGCACTAGGTGGCGCCAGCCTGGCTAAGACAGGTCCACTCCAGGACTAAAATTAGCTAAATTTAGGACCAAATTGCGAATGCCCCTACAGATATGCCAGATCTGTGGAGAGGCAACCATGCTCACATCAGAGATACATGATTTTTATTTTAAGCAATAAACCACCTGTAGCTAAATAAATGTGAAAAGATAGACCAGTTTAATGCCATGCTGTGGAGCTTCATAAAATAATTGTGGACCTGTAATAGAACAGTGGAAAGTAAAGTAAAATTCACTTTTATGGCAGCTAATACACACTGAAGTGCAAAAGTGCATCAATTAAATTGAGAGGAAATATGATATTAACAAATAACAACACTTTTTGTGGCTATTGTGTTATTACAGACAAGAACAAAAGTCGATATTCTAATTTTATATATCCTCAAACCACAGTTGTCTCTAAGTTTGCTTTCTTGCAGTGATAATGGCTGAACTAACCTTGAATATTTCAGTATAATCAGAGACCTTTCTCTCTAAACTTCATAGAGTTACATAGTGCTTGAAGTAAAAGTAAAACATAAAAAATTAAAAATATGATAACTAAGCATAATCTAAGTATTATCTAGTCAAATAATGACTTCAAGTCAGTTTCACTATAGCCTCAGTGTAACAATATGATAATAACATGGCTAATAACTTAACCTTGAATATTTCAGTACAATCAGAGGCCTTTCTCTCTAAGCTTCATTAGCTCTGTATTAGCTGTGTTGCTGATTGGCTCTGGCCTTTTGTGTGAGCATATTGACAAAACAATGCTACAAAGACATGCAGGGTCCTGTTCTCTGGAGTGTCAGATGGCCCTCTCGCTGCTCCAGCTGGTCACCTGGATGTGAGTGCGGCTCCTGTGAGATCCTGTGGTGTCTGTGAAGACTGCTCTACAGTGAGGCGGAGGAGGAGGAGGGAGGGGGCCATCTGCTCAGGACCCCCAAACCCCCTCCCCTATCCACTCACCCCCACACTCTCTCAACCCCATGCGCCCCACTGTCTGAAAAATAAAGATATCTGTGATTAAAGGTAAGAGATGTAACCAAAATGAGCAACACTTTGTAATAACTAAACCTTAATTAGTCATGATAAAGCATGAGACTTAAAGGACCAGTCATTTTTCCCCCATGTGTTTGAGCAAATTATGTCTTGTCTTGTACAGATATACTGTAGCCTATAAGCAGCTCTTGAGGTCAAAATATGTCTGCTGCATGCTATCTGTATCTAATTATAAAGCTTTTTATTGTCTGATAATAAAGAAGTGTGCGTGTTTGCATGTGTGTTAACTTTACCCTCACAGCAAAAGGCGGCATGGGTCTCTGACTGGTCCGGTGGCAGTGAGTATTTCGTATAGTTAAAGTAGCAAGATGAGCTCAGAACGTGAAGCGTGCAGTCCAGTGATGCTGCCAGAGGTGCCACGACACTCCGGATCAGTTCAGTTGGATTCTATTTTTGCCAGATGCCAGAGCATACTGCAGCCTTTTCCCTTAATAAATAAATAGCAATCGAATGAAAACATCATCTCACGTGTGCAGGCTTCAAAGGTGGTGAGCACAGCAGAGCTCTGGTCCTTGAATGAGTGTCACAGCAATAAGACTGGTCCCACAGTGCTCTTCAGCTGGACCGGGTGCAGTCTGAGCCCAAGGTGAGAGTTGTGAAAAGCGCTCACAGTGACTAACTAGGACATTCCGAATGCATAAGGAAAGTGAGGAATAACACCACAAACTAGTTCTGTTTTTAGGCACTAAATGCCTTTAATTCAAAAATGAACATGTGGTTTAATAAGAATGATTCAGGCTCATAGTAACTACTTAAATGTCCTATATTATGCTAACATGACTCTTGTGAGTCTTAAGCCATGTTATAATACTGATACCTCTACAAAAAAATGCCTGAAGAGGTGTTTTGTTTAATTTAATTTATCTACATTCCTAATGCTCAAAATGCTCTGTTCCATGTTTCTTGTGATATTATGAAGGGATAGTTTTCAAGTTAGCAGCTACCTTTATTTCAGTAGATACTGGCAATTCCAGGGCTGAAATTATCCAAATGATTCTAGTGAATCATTTGGGCCCAAAACAAAAAGGACTGGCTAACACTGGTTAGCCTAGTGTTATAAGTTTTCACAGGTCCCATCAAATGCTCCTTAATCCAAACAATAATGTGCAGCAACACATCAACCATTCAGAGATCTCATAGGACGAGAGGGAACCTTTGTACTCACTGAATGCTCTCATTTACATCAGTTTTCAGGCAGAAATAATACATGCACTTCCCAGTGGTTAATCACAAGGCACACACCTACAAATTACACAAGCTATTTTTCAGTTTATACTCTCAGTTTAGCACCTGGATTGATAACTGAGGCCCTTAGGCTGCAGTCACAGACAAATCGAATGCTTTTCACCAGATGGGTACAGGTCAGGTTGGTTCAGTAAATAAGCTCACATTTTATTCGAACAAGGCTCTTTCACCC